TCATTTTTCAGAATCTCACTAGATGCCATCTATTTGATCTGGCCTCACAAGTGGCTGATGGCATTATGTTCCTCACTTTATGGCCTTGTACAATGCCAAACCTCCTGCTTGGGGTCCACAAAGGCCCCACCTTCTCACTCACTTGGTCCGCTGATAGGGGTCCTTCCAGCCACCACGCTTGACTTCTCTGATGGTTGCTTCCCAGACTTCCTGGTCATCCCCGTTTTCTCCCCGTGAATTGGATGGGAAATGGTGCAAAATGCGGGTACTGCAGGGAAAAAAGCGTCCAGCAAGCTGTACTTGACTATGGGAACGACCATGCCACTGCAAAACTTGTGCAACTTCGTCGGGTTGGGTGACGTCAAGGTGCACGCGCTGCCCATCTTCAGGCAGCATTGGGACGGCTCGCCTGCCTCTGGGTTGCCGGCCTGCAGCAACTCTCCACTGAGTGGTGGCCTGGGCAGCGAGTGGAGTAGCTCTGGGTTCTAGCTGGACGGCTGGAAGCACCCGATCATGAGCCAACTTGCTCACGATGATAGCTATTCGCTGGCACAATAGCAATGGATACTCGGCCTCACTTGCCGTGTCGTACCTCCAACCACCATCCAGCGACTTATCTTACTGACCAACTTTTTCAGCGTGGGATCCATCACATCTCACTTCGAGCTGTCGGAGTGCTTCGCAGTTGTGCAGTAGTGAAGTCTGCTTGTCCTCCTCAAAGGTGGCGGGGACGGTACTCCCCTACGCTGCAAGCACATCGGGATTGGCTTGTCCCTTGCTCTCGACGCTGTACCACACGGGGGAGCCATCGGTATGAAGAAGACGTGTCCACGATCGATCTTGTCCTTGACGAACTTGGCACTACTTGGTTTGGATAAATCCAACACTATACAAGGTCCTACTCGGTTCATGCATTTCTTGTGGTCAATTCCTGCTGCTGAAAAACCATGCAACTTCAAACACTTGGATAACTTGCACGACCCTGCAAACAACTCAAACGTTTGCGGCACTACGCCGCTGACATTTTCACTTTGTCTGTCAGAGCTACACCTATTGGTGAAAAAGCTTGCTGCACAAGGTTCGGGATCAGGTCGAGATCTCCTGTCAGACCCCGATTCCGCGGAGACTTCAGCTGCCTCCTCATCTGCTCAGGGGCTCCAGCATTTCACCGCGGCGTGCCCCAGCTTCCAACACTTCACGCAGATGTGAAGTCCCTTGGTGCACTTGCCATCTTTGGCCTTGCACGTGGCCATGTTGTAGCCATAGCAGATGCGTTCGCCCTGCTTCATAGGAGTCAAGCCCCACATCTCCTTTGGCATCTTGATTGGCATTTTCTTTGGGGCTGCTCCTTTGTCTTCTTCATAGTGGAGCACTTCATTCTTCTTCTTCTTGGCCTCAGCTTCCTTCAGGCGCTCTTTGAGCTTTTGATTCTCCTTTGCAAGCTTGCGCTTGCCCACGCCCACCTGCTCGGTCTCCTGCTGCGCCACCTCCTTGCTGGCACTTGACTTGTTGCCAGGTAGTGGCAGCAGAAGCGTCACGAAGGCGGGGTCCAGGATGACACGCTCCAAGGCGACGTCCGCCATGCGCCTTCCTGCATGGTTCCGACCCAGGTCCCCCTGCACTTCTTCACTCATCAGCTTCCATGCCCTGCGGTCGGCTGCAGTGAGCTGGGCCAATGTCACTTGACTGTAGCCAGCCCAGACCTCTCTTTGATACTCTTGGAAGAGCTTATCCACGAGCTTCTCATGGATCGTGTAAGTCATCACGTCCGCGACTTCCAAGGCGAGCCCCCTGCGGGTGTATGCCTGCCTCAACCTCAAGTCTGTTCTGGTATCGGCACCTGGCATCTTTGTCTCGTCATGGGCCCGTAGGTGTCCACTTGCGTCCCTCTTGATCAGCTCTTCCGTCTTGATGTTCTGCAACTCCTGATCACGAGTGGGAATCTCGTGAGGGGCCATGTAGCGAAGCTCTCCATCCACCCTCATCGAATGGAGTGTGTCCACCACATGATGCGCAGGCTCCAGCTGGTCACTGATCTGGAGGTGGGCATACGTCGCCCTGAGCTGTGCCCACCTTGTCTTTCGTTCCACTGGCGGCAACTTCCTTGTCTTCGAGCCATCTGCTTCTTGGGTACCCTCCAACCTCTGTCGCAACTCAGCCGCCACCACGGTGTAGGCCTCATGGTGTAGCTTCCTGAGTTTTGGCAGGTCTGGGTGATCCGCTCTGCCAAGGATTGGTGTCACCACCTGAGTTACGAAGGCTGTGTCATCGCCCGATCCCGTGCTCGCAAATGTGAAGGTGGACAGGGTTATCCACCCTCTGCGCGCCATCTCATCTTTGCGCGCGTCCAGGCCTATGTCTTTCAACTTGGCCTCAAACACGGCCGCTGACTCTGTCAAGGTGGCCATGGCACCAGGCCTCAACTCGCACCCGGCCTACGCGTCAGAGCCACCAACTTGCTCTGTGAAACAACATGTACACGCACACTTCAAACGCTGACTCTCAGTGCTCCCTAGTCAACGTGACTATACCACACACAGCTCTTCAATCGTCCTCTCAACTCTCCAGGCGGTCCTGTTGCGGCGCACATCCATCGACAGGACGTCCCTGTCCAACTTGACCTGAACCGGACTACCCGGCACACGGTCAACGACCGGGAACTACTCCCATTGCTCACTTGCACTTGCACTTGCTTTGACTTCACTCACACATGCACTTGACTCTCACTTACTTGCTACTTACTTACTTATACTTTCTTGTCCTCACCCATGCTGCACTCCTTCTTTTTACTCCGCTTGGTCTCTCAGGCACTTCACCTGATGTACCCTTCGCACACTTTACATCTACTTCCTAGGCCGTGCACTTCATCGTTGAGTTTAAACATTACTGCGAAAATCGGTCTGCCACATGCCAACTTCCACTCAACAGCGCTGCCATGGTGAATGGTCCCTGTCACGCCGCGCCTGTACAAATCTATGTTGGATTTCTTCAGAGGACCAAGTCTACTGTGCACCACCGCCTCCAAGTCCCTCTCGTCCTCACTCTCTCGGGCCTTGTCCACCGTCTCCTCACTCTCACTTGAGGTCTGCTCGATGGAGACCAGGCGGTACGACGTCTTCTCAGGTGTTGGGACCTCATGCATTTGCACTTTCTCCTCAGGGTCAGGCAGCAGCTCTTCTTCTTGCTCATCTCGTTGCTTGCCCTCTTGAGTCTCGCACGGCATCGGATCCAACCCCACAAACCTCTGATTCCTGGGAGCATCAAGGCGAAACTTTCCCTGTTTGATGATCCGGGTCAGGGCTTCCAAGCCTGTGGCCAGCGCATCCCTGCTGTACACCAGCACTGACTTGTCTTTGGGCTTGACGTGATAGCCCATCAAGCGCCTCACTTTCTCTGGCACCATGTACTTCGCCGTCCAGGACAGTGTAGTGGCCTTGAGTGAATGCGCCCCCACATTGCTGAGCTGTCCGGGCCCCAGGACCTCGCAAAGCCACACACTTGCCTCAGAGGTTGACAGCCTGGCAGAACTCCAACCACCACCTGGCACGGGCGTCGGTAGGAAAGGCCTACCAGGGCCACTGATGTCTCTAAGCTTCAGCAGTGCCACCGCCCAAGCTGTCCCTGTCACACCGACTTCCGGTGCAACAACTGGCAGGATCCTGCAAGCTCTGCCTGCTATCGAGTCAGTCTTGCGGGTGGACGTCCCACCCTCAACCAATCCTCCGTCCACTTGTGGCTCGTGCTGGATGCCCTGACTGTCACCGAACCTCAGCCGCCCATAGACGCAGACCAAGCAATGCCCTGCAAAGATTCTATCTTGAAGCGGGAACGCCTGTTCACATACTACCCTCTCGAGTATTGACACTTGGTGCACTGTCAAGGCATCTCTCTGTCTCAGCACCCTCTTGGTTAGGAAGCTTCTGTGGGCAGACCCAGCAATCCGGCTACTCCTCAGGATGTCGTCCACACCATCGAGCTCGATTGTACCCTTGCAGAACGCCAGAGCACTTCGAAAACTGCTGGCCCTGGTCGTTGGTGCCACATCCCGCCTCAACTGATCAACGTACTGGTAGCACTGGTCCTCGTCGAGCGGGAAGGGATTGTATAGCCCTTGGCACGAGCCCGCCTAATGTATAGCATCAATGCGCTCAGCCTCACTTGCAAAGTGCCGTTCTTCTTTTTGGCAAAAATATCATCGAGCACTTCTTCTCCATTGGTCTCAACCATACTCCTTGCTCTCGAGTGCCTGCCTGCCTCAGCAATAACCACCAGCCAACCAGTGACCCAGGGAAGTTTTCCACTCTCCTTGATGACGAAGCTTGGCTGTAGTTTTGATGGCTCCTGTGGCTTGCTGGGCGGATCAACTTCGATGTCCATTGCTTTTGCACTCCTTGTACTTTCACGCAGGCACTCAAGAGGGAGGATGTTGACGCCTTGGTTCAAGACCACTCCAGCAAAACCTCTCTCCCATGGAATCTTGAGATGCTCCGGGATGAACTTCCTCAACTTTTGCTGCTCATTCTGAATCATCCCAAGCTCATCTGCATTCACCTCCTCTTCCTTGGTGGCTGTAGCCGTTGACGACGAGGTAGCCCGGGCACTGTCCACCATTCTCTTCAGCCGCAACAAAGGGCTGACATCCAGCGGATTCTCTTCCACGGCTTCAGTCGAGTGGGGGGAGTACATCTCTGTAGGCCAGACCTCCCACCTTTGTCATCTTGCCTCATGGCTTCCACCTCCCGGACCCTGTCTGCCAACTCACTGAAGCTTTCCTCCATGAACACGGCCTCCAGCTCCGGGTTGTAGTGTAGCCCCCCCGCACCATCCCCCTCCTCGGGGGCTTTGTCCACGTCCATGACATCCATGGCGGACTTGAAAAACGTGGGAGGACTTGAAAAACGTGGGGGGCCACAAGTCTTGAGCCAAAATGGCTACCAGTGCACACCCACTACTTTGTTTACACTCATCCGTTGTTGTTTCGTTTGTAAAAGACACTATTACTTCGTAACAGCATGCATTTTCTTACATGCGAGAGTCCGAGATGTGGACTTCAGATCAGGAACGCGATGGTTACACGCACAGTCCCCAACCCTGCCGCGAGCACTCGCACCTGTTTGATGATTGAGCCAAATGGATGGCGTGTCATTCTCAGTCCCGTACGAAAGGTTTGCTCGGAACAATCGGTTGAAGTCTCTGACCAGTGCGAAGGGTTTGTTCTACGGATTCCCACTGGGCTCTTTTGGAGGAAGCAAGCAGTGATATGCAGGGCATGAACCTACGAACATATGCATGTTGGATTATGTTGGTGGAGCCTAAAGGCTACACACCCGTTCCAAAACGCTTTATCTTCAGATTTTACTCATGGAAGGAATCGTTGGTGACACAAACATACAGACTGCTTTGATAATGCTGGTGATACAGAACCACATGATTTCAACTGACAAAGGAAGTGCTACATTTTCCCCATGTCTTTCTTCTTATCCTCACAAAACATGCTGACATATTTGGACTAGGCTAGCCGCCTTTCCAGGTGGGTTGAGTCTTCCGCAGATGTTGGCACCGGATAATAACATGAAGAGTTGCCTTAAACATGCTCATACGAAAAGCTGAACTCATCTCGGGTAGCGACCACGCCCACTATTGTCGCACAGTTCTACAAGGTCTTCAAGGTTCGGGGTATGCATAGGTCGCATAGGTCCCTCCCTGAGATAGCCACAGTTTGCCACAGTAGACTTATCAAATGAACTAGGAGGGCAGATTCGCAACCACCAATACGCCCTAACACGCCGCGTGATGGGACGGAGTCTCCACAAAAGCCAAAAGCAATGAGCAAAACACACAACACACATCTGCGTCTTCCAAAAGGGCCAACAAATTGGCATCATGGATCCCAAAGAACCTCACCTCCGTGATCGCATCTGCGTCTTCGCACCTCCGTGTCGATTTCTTCGTCTACCAGGGGACGAAGACGCAAGAAAAACTGCAAGTCTCCTGAACCCAGCAAAGCTCTGCCTGAGGATATTGGCCTCGAAGAGAACAAACGTATGACCGGTGGTGTTGATTCGCACTGCAGGAGAATTATACTGGCCCGTTGGAAGCATGTTCGTCAAGATGGCATCCTCCGCATTGTCTCACTAAGGTAGGGCTGTCTCCAGAAAACCAAATCCTCCAAAAGCATCCAAAAGCCTTTTCAAACTACTGCGGATCTGTTGAGTTGATGAAGCAAATGCATGCAAACGCATCGCAAATCGGTGGGATCGAACCGGACCTTGTACCTCGAGACCTATCAAACGAGGGATCTGCAAGACCATTTCCAAATTGTGATATGTGTTGATGGGCATCTTGAGTGGTTTTGAGATGTGAATCCGGCTCCAACCATATCTGGTTGGACTTCCAAGGAACCCGCCCCAGGCCCGATCTTCGAAACGGAGCTAGTTGGAGCCCTAGAACCGGCCCTGTATGCAGGTCTCCCAACAGTCCCTCTCTCTATGTTCAATGCAAATCCCAGCCCCTTCTGGGCTAAGAACTGTTTGTGTACCACTTGGTGCAGTTTACCAACCAAAAATAAGAATATATATATATATACACATATATATATATATGCAGTGTACATACTAGTGTACATGTATTTGGCTCAAGTTCTCGGCTCAAGAGCGGTTTCCCGGCCCGCTGGGTACTTCACGACTTCAAGAACATCGCTCTGGAGTCCAAGAAGGGAGGCCACACCTTTCTGCTGGACAACATGACCAGAGGATCGTGGGCCCGCTCCTACCAGTGCTGCAGAGGCGCGGATTGCAGCAATTGGATTTGGGAAGACAAGGTGGCTGAAGGGTATGTTTGCCGCAAATGCGGCCTGGCTTGGAGGCAACCAGCTCAAGGTTTTCGAGACCGTTCGAAATCTCAACCCCGGGGTCGACATGCTCCTCGCCAGAAGCCCATCACACCCCCGCCTGGCCTAGGCGGGGGCTGGGCATCCAAAATCACACAGGTACACAAGGCCACCACCGACCTTCTCATGGGCTCGTGGGGCAGCTTGGACCCCAAATTGCAGCAACAGCTAGAACAGCTTGGCATCAAGCCCGCTCCGCCCACCGTGGAGGCTGATGACTTGACGAGTGTCCTCAAAGAGAACATGGCCCAGCTGCCCACTGCAGTGAAGGATCTGGTGGAGAAGATCACCAAACCTCCACCAGAGACGGAGAAAGACATGGCCATGAAGCTCAAGGCACAGGTGTCACATCTTCGAGACCTGTCCCACAAGAAGCAAGTCCTGCAACAGAAGCTGGACAATGCCAAGAAAACCTATGGGGACATGCTTGAGGAGATGAAGACCATACAAACCAAGCTGGAGGCTGAACAAGGGGCCCTTCACACCACTTCTGCGGCCTACATGGCTTTGGTCAACACTAGCAAGCCGGCCACTGAGCTCCATGAAGGGGAGTCCATGGAGGACACTGTGCCCAATGCAGTGGCAGGTTTCATTACGACCCTTGGGGTCAGTTTGACAGAGGACCAGAAGGCCCAGCTCACAACGATGCTGAAGCGCCCTCCGGCTCCCATCACTGAGGACGAGAACAAGCGACGCAAAATGTTGGAGGAGGTCCAACAGTGTGGGTAACCTGATGCCTAGGGATGCCTCCCTTTGGCACTTTGCTTCTTGTGTTTTCGGGGCTGCTGATGCGGGCCATCAGCCACACAGGGTTTCTCAATCGAGTTGCGGGGTTTTTGACAACTTGGTTGATTCTTTTGCAGCTGGAGGCTCGAGACGAGTCAAGGGTAGCCGCGGGGGCTATGGTCCTTGGCGACAGCCTCCTCCTTTCAAGTTGAGGGGGGGACACTCCGACCCTCCCTTGGGGCCAGAGAGCAGTTGGGCTCGCCGCGGGGCACCGAGTTCCTCTACCTCAGCGCAGACCTCTCGGGGTGCTGCAGTTGACGGGACCCCACAGGCCAAGCTTGCTGCTCTTCTGGTGGATCTCATGGACGATGACATCAACCGTCAATTTCTGTTTGATTTGAGAAGGATGGAAAACACACTCCACAAGCTCCTTGCGGTTCAAGGTGATGTTCCACATCTTGCCACTAACGTCTATGTTGTGGCTCAGGCTCTGACCAGCATCCTCTCCAACCCGCACAACATGTGTTTTGCCAATGCGGTCCTGCGATGCTGGAGCTGGGCAGGGGCTCATGCTGAAGACCAGTCCATTGCCTGGGGCCGGACACATGGTGCGGTTCGGCAATTTCTGGGGGCCGACCAACCATCCCTGCTGAGCAATTTGGATCAAATGCACCATATTCTCCAACACTTCCAAGAAGGTACTCAAGCGGATGTTGGGGATTTTGCAGGCCTCTTGTGGAATTTTGCGGACAGCACCTTCTTCGGTGGCAAGCTTTTCCATGTTCACCTTGACGGACGGCTTGAGGACAGAGAACAAGTTCCCCTCAACATGCTGTTCCCACCGGGAGACGCGGCCATCTCCTTGGATGAGCTTGTCAACCTGTGGGCTGACGAAGAAGGAGGGCAATACCTTTATGGGGCTCCCGATGGCCTCATCCTGCACCTTCAACGGTCGGCTTTGGTACAGGGGCAATGGACCAAGCATGACCGGCCTTTGGATTTCTCCACCAGCGTCAACATTCCCTTCTCGGAGGATGGAATTCATGTTCATATGGCCACTTACAGGATTGTCAGCCTGGTTTTGCATCAAGGAGAAGGGCATGAGAACGGGCACTATGTGTGCATCCATGCCATGGACAACACCTACTGGTTTGCTGATGATGACCAGTATCCTGTCCCCATGTCCAACATTTCGGATCAGCAGCGGAAGGAGGTTGTCCAACTCTGGCTGATTCATGACAACCAGGGTGAGCTTGTGGCAGATGCCGTTGAAGCTTTGGAACCCAGTCAGCCCAAGAGGGCCAAGCATCACTACGAGACCTTGCGCCTCATCTTTGGGAACGTGACCTTCTTTGGCGCTCGCGTTCAGGACTGGATCTGGACCAGAGGAGACCACCTTCTCTTTTTGCAAGAGACTCATTTGGGCCCCAAGAAGCTCAACAAAGCCCAGCAATACTTCACTGCAAGAGGCTGGAAAACGCATGGTCTTCCGGCTGCTGATACTGGACGAGGAGGGACCACGGGAGGCATGCTCACCTTGCATGGCAATCGGCATTTGACCCATCTCGATCACTACTTCCAAGAAGGCAATGGCTGGATGTCTGTTGGTTTGCAGCGGCATGACACGATGAAACTTTGCAGTCACCTCACAATGCCGACCTTTTGGCACACCTTCTCACCTACCTGGGTCATCTACGAGCTCCCTTCATTGTGGGTGGGGATTGGCAGAATGAGCCTGGTGCCTTGGCGGCCACGGTCATTCAGAGTAAGTTCAAGGCGGAGATCTTAGACACACAAGGACCCACCACCTTGCAAGGATCTCAACTGGACTTCCTGCTGGTCTCCTCCACTCTGGCACCATGTCTTCAGGTTCAAGCCAACTGGGATGTGCCGTGGAAGCCTCATTGTGCCCTGGATGTGACCTTCAACTGTGATTATGCGGCTGTCTCTGTCCAACAACTTCAGCGCTTCCCTCCGATCGGAAGGACTCATCCTTTGCCGGCCACCTGGACCAGTTTTTGGGAAGACGACGGTCCCTTCCACATCATTGGCCAACCCATCACTGGCATAGGCTCTGACTTTGCTCGCTGGGCCACACAAACAGAGAAATACCTGACTCAGTTGCTCCACACACCCACACAAGGAAGAGGATCCCGGATCTCCATGTTCCAGGCACCTCTGGTCGATCAGACCAAGTCCCAAGTTTGGAAGAAAGGTCATGTTGCCTTCTGGGAGAAGATGAAGGTGCGAGTCAATGTGGTTCATCAATCTCAGCACCCTCGAGTTGCTCAGGACCTACTCAATATGTTGGAGTCAGTTTCTCAGCATGCATCGGATGGGATGAGCCAAGACCTGTTCACTGCGCTCATGAAGCATTGGATACAGCATCCCACCAATGAGCCTTTGGAGATTCGGCGCATCATTGCAGAAGAAGAGCAGCTCGCCCACAAGGCTATCTTCCACACCTCCAGCGAGGAATACAAGCTCTGGCTGGAGAAGGCTCATCAGAAGGGACTCAGGGGCCTTTTCCGGAGTCTCAGGCAGAAAGATGTTCCATGGCAAAGGCCCTTTAAACATTTGCCGCTGGCAGAACGACAACTAGCACGACAGGCTCAATGGGAGGGCATTTGGCGCCCACGCCCTGATCCCCGTCCCCTTCGGCAATGGGATCTTTTGCAGGAAGCAGCCAAAGATCAAGCGGAGCAATTGCCTCCCATTCAGTCCCATCAACTACAACAGCTTCTTCGGCATTTGCCCAACAAGGCTGCTGGACCTGATGGCATTTCATATGACTTCCTTCGGCATTTGCCTTATCCTGCAGTGGAGAAACTGGCTGGGTTGCTCACTTCCATGGAGCGAGAAGGAGAGCTGGCTTTGCAACTGAGGGTGACAAACATCGTTCTCATACCCAAAAATGAGAAGGTCGAGAGACCAATTGCCCTCACCAGCTGTTTGTATCGGGTATGGTGCCGTGCGAGAAAGGCGGACCTGCAGAGGTGGCAGCTCTCTTTGGATGATCAGCTGCCTTGGGATCAAGCTCGGCCGGGGCGCGACTGTCTGAGCATTGCCATCGGGCGGATGCTGCATGCGGAGATTGCCCGCCATCAAGGCATACACACGGTCACTTGCTTAGCAGACCTCACTTGCTTCTATGACCATGTTGACCTGGATGCCATCATCGCACCTGCTCGCGACTTGGCATATCCGCCCTTGCACCTCAAGTTTGCACTGGACGTCTATCGAGGGCCGAGGACCATTCAAGCTGAAGGCATCAATGGAGAGGCCAAGCATTATGACAAAGGAATCCTACAGGGATGCCCTCAGGCGCCAGCCATCTCGAAGCTCATCCTTTTCAAGCCCCTCAAGGTCATGGTCACCAACCATCCGGCCGTCACCCTCCAGACTTGGGTGGACGATGTCAGTTTTGACATCCACAGCCGGGACCCTGACTTTGCAGCTCGAGAAGCTTTGAGTGCTTTCCGCACCATGAAGCACCAAATGGAGGAAGCTGGCCTGAAGTTGAACACGGACAAAACAGGCTTCCTCACCAGCTCCAAAGAAGCTGCTAGGGCCCTGAAGGCCTTGTTGACGGACAGTGATCCAGAGCACTATGATGTCCTCCGAGACCTGGGAGTTGACTCCACTGCGGGTCGCAGGCGCCGGGTCCCTCAGATCAAAAAGCGCTTCTTGAAGGGCAAAGGACGTGTTGGGATCCTTCATCGCCTTCGGCTGTCCACTGGCATACGCTACAGGCTGCACAAAGGGGCCATTCACCCGTGATGTCCTGGGGAGCTCAAGCCAATGGACTGGCCCCTCAAAGACGACAGCAACTCCGGGTCTTAGCAGCACGGGGCCTCAAACTCCAGCGGACAGGCTCAGTCGATGTGGTGTATGACATGAATGATGGACAGCCAGATCCGGGGGATTCAATCATCCTCCAACACCTGCACACAGTCTGGAAGGTCTTCCACCGCTTTGATGAGAGCAAACAGCATCTCTTCTGGACCAGTTGGAACACCGCACTGGGAGCTCTCCAACAAGCCCGGTACAAATGGCAGGTGGTTTCCGACCCTCTTCAAGCCCTTCAGGCCTACTTGCTTGACATGGAGTTTGACATCTCCAATGGCCACAAATGGAAGTGCACAGGTTACGGAGGGATACCAGACTGTTTGCTCTCCCTTTTGGATCCATGGCCGGTCATCCACTCTCAGCTCCAGCAGGAATTCCGATGGCAACGGCTTTTGCGCTTGACCAGGTATGAAGGCTGCCACGACATGGAAAGGCACTTGGATTGGATGATCAGTCTGCACATCCAGAGGACTACAAGTGACTCCTTGGCTACAGGACTTCGTGCTTTCCATCAAGGCACCTTACATGGAGTTTCTGGCCATTGCCCCCTATGTGGAGTTGACTTGACCTTCAGACATATGCTCTGGGAGTGTTCCTTTTGGCAAGGCCGGGTCAAAGAGCTGTCGTCTGAATGGGTCAATAGGTTGCAAGCGGGCACGGATCCAGAGCTTTGGCAGAGAGGCTTTGTTCAGAAGATCTTTTACGAGCCTGAAGAGGGATTGGCCACCATCGAAGGCACAGGCTTGTGGGAAGATCTTGGCCTTCTCCGGGCCGACAAAGGTCACATATGCTCGATTGCAGTGGCACCCACTTGTGGGGACAAGAGGCATCGACGTTTTGCCTTTGCTGTCTGCGTCCATCTTACGAAGACCAAGCAGCAGGTGGGGTCCATTACTGGCATCTGTCCTGCTCCGGCGACTCGAAGGAGGGCTTTCTTTTACGCTATGAAGCAGCTGGCACTCCATGTCACTGAGAAGACCCCGGTGGCCCTCTATGATGTGAAGGTGTGGCAGGCTTGGAAACCTCATGTGGCCTTTGAGACTTTTCCGGATCTTTTTCCGGGGCTGGAGTTCGAGGATTTTGACCATGTCTGGCCTCTCCTTTTCTCCAAGCAGGAGCTTTCTCAGAATGAACTCCGACGGATCACCCAGAAAGACACGCAGCAGTTGGCCCTTCGCACCGGCAAATTGTTCGAACCCACTGAGATTCTTGACATGCAGGCTCATGTGGACAATGATGCTCATGAAATCTTGCTGCAAGCCGGGGAGCGAATGAGCATTTTGCTTCAGAACAAGAACCACTATTTGCACCGCAAGGAAGCCGTCATGCAGGATAAAGTTCCACTCATCCAGCAGAAGAAGGAAATCCTTGCTGACCTGCTTGCCAAAGAGTCACCCAACGGGCATGCATGGGAGCCCTTTCGAAGTGGCATTCGCTGTGGGCATTGCAAACTCCGCTACCACAGCAAGAGTCTCCTGGTTGAGCTAAAAGAAGCTGGAGAGAAGCCCTGCGAAAAAGCGCCCAAGCTCTCTCAGCCCAAGCAGACCAGGATGGAGATGATTCATGCTCTGGTGGCCTCCCAAACCGGTCAACAGAGCGGAGTGCACCATCTGAAGTTGGATCGTGCATACCTCAGGTGCATGGCTTGCAAAAGCTACATCTTGGCAAGGACGAACGAAGAAGCCTTCACCAAGTTCGTCAGTGAGCCATGCTACACGGGACCGCTGGAGAGTAGCTTGTGGGAAGGGCACGTCTCGCACACTATGCAGAGACAGGGTCGCAACGTGGAATGCAGTCGATGTCACGCGAGAGCCAAGTTCATCGACGAGAAGATTCAGTTGACGACCCGCTTACGCCAAAGGTGTGTTTTCCAGCGGAGTCGAGATCTGCGAGAAATGTTCGCATGAAACGAGAAACGCATTGCACCGAAAAGACGAGCAAAAAAAAAAAAATGTACATGTATTTAAGAAAACGACACGTATAAATTATATAACAACAGAACCTAAGCTTTAAGCGAACACAGGCAAGTCTTCAGAAAAGCTTCCCGCCGATCTTGACCCTTTTTTGCCAGTGAGTTCTATCTGATTTTGACCACCAGCCATCTCACCTTCCCCAGAGTTCCCCGGCTGCAAACCACGGCCACGCTCATCGCAGGAAAGGGTGCCAGCTGCTCCAAACGGTGTAGCACTACAGCACCTGGCAGTGCTCGCTTTGGGCGGTAAGTCCTGCCTGGAACGTCGGACAACGGCGTCCTACCGCGAGAAGCAACGTCTTGCAGGTTCGCGCGCCCAGTAATTAGTAGGAGATGTCGCTTGTAGTGACAAGAGTGATCGGCGCTTTGGCTGCCAGGCGCAGGCAAGATGTTGCCCGTGTTTGCAGAGATATGTACCAAAACCTTCTATAGAGTGGATGTAATCAATCACCCATTCAGACCTGATGACAAGCTCCTTTGGGGAAGTGATGCACAAAGTCTTGTCAACTGGATGTTGGATTCACTTTGAAGTCAAAATGTTCTGCTCCGAGTTCACCAGATACATCCAGATACATCCAGATAGCACCGATTTCCCAGCCCGGCCCAGACCGATTTCACACCCGCCCAGCCAGGGACCTTCTAAACCTCTCGTCGCCCTTCCATGATGTAGCTCATAGAAGACCTCGAGAGGTGGCAGTTCACTGGCAAGTCTGCAGAAGTCTGCCATAGATCCCAAAATCATTGCTTTGTCTGAGCCACTCTTGCTTTGTCATGACGTTTGAAAATCAAGTCGTTCATAGCATGTCAAGAACCGCAAGCCCCCTGACTTGAACCTTGCAGGTATTCCATTGGCCCTCGCCTTGCCGCTACAAAAGATCACCCGCTTGCAATTCCTCTGATCAGCTTTGGATGCCTCAAGACGCCGCATGAGCCGCAGGCCGCAGGGCAAAACTGAGTCCATGCAAACCCACGTCACGCCCGAGGCATCACTGCAAAGCCAAGGAAGGCACTCACCAAACAAAGTACACCCGTTGGGACGTCATTGACGCTCCTTTCGTTAGGTCCTGTGTAAACGCTGCCTAGACAGAGTCTGACGTCTCATGTGTCTCATGTCGACAACTGATCAGACATGGGACATGTCCGACATGGACTAATATGTTGTTTCAACTCTTGTGGGCCAACGATGCCGGACCGGTCGGACCTATCGATGGAAGAACGACATGCCGGTCGTTCCGCGTCACATCGGATGGTCGGTCGATGTCGGTCGCTGGTTCCGCTTGGGCACGCTCGAGCACATGTTGTCGCCGTCGCCCCCTTCCTGTCGCATCAAACAGTTGTTCTGTTTGTTGGTGCCTCAACCTACTCGCTCCTGATCCATTCGTTTTTTAATTTCGGCTATAGATGTGAACTTCTAACACGCAAAACTGTTTCCCTGTGTTGGCTTGGGATGATGGTTCACAGCCACACAAGTTTCCATTTTTTGGAGATGTCTCAGCAGCAAATCTCCCAGAGCCAGGGTGTCCCTTTCTCGCAAATGGCATCTGAGACACAAAACAAGACAGTTGATGCATCCTGACATATCATACGTAACATATCATTCCGCATCAGTGAAGCCCAGCTTGCCTGAATCAAACGCTGGAAGCGAGTGCCGGACATCATGTGCTCCAAAGGTGAGCGACAGGGCCTGAAAGCATTATCTATTGATGCACTGCTGTTGCAAAGGACACTTCTGAGCGAAATCATGACTTCTCTCATATCTTGATGTCTTCTAATGCCTTCTCTTGCTTCCTTCTTGTGTTGTCTTTCTTGCTTTCCACAGTTCTTTCAGCCATGCGCAGCTTAAGGAGGCTTGGCGAGCTTAAACAACCTCTAGCTGGCCTGTGGTGCAACAGGTACTTGGCCGTCATCACAACCAAAGGTTTGGCCTCCGCAACCGCTCAATGCGGAACACCGACCGAAGTCTCGACCGAAGTCTCGACCGACGAGGTCCCGAGCTTCGCCATGAACGAGGTCCTGGCGCGTCCCGCGCACGGGCGCCCCAACGAAGCTTCGGTGCACTTGCCGCCGCAAGACGTGGAAAAGGTTGGCCGGAGTGGTGATGTACCTGTGCCATGTCGGAGGGTGGCCTGTGCTGCAGAGAACAAGCTAGTAGGTCTGTGAGACCAGAGCAGGTCCGGTGCGTCACCAAAGTTGGATGCCTGACATGCCCAACAAGCAGCCAGCATGGCTTCCTGTGGCCTTCTCTCAACCGTCCCTGGTGAGGATTTGATAACACGCATCACCAAGGCCCGGATGTGATTGGGCGCTGTTCATGGTGCTTGGGATATGTCATGATATGTCTTGATCTCTGGAAGGGGTTCATCTCCTCGAACTGGCTCACGGATACCTGTGGCACTCCTATGGTCACCAAAACGCCTGAAAGAACTCGCTTCCAGGAAGCGAAAGACGTGCTCTCCCGCGTGAAAATATCAGGTTCGGGCGACAAAGGTGCAGCACCTGAGTACAATTATGTACAATTCCTGTACGACATCTAGGTGTCCCACCCTTTGAAATTGTGTACACACATGAGAAGTTCAACTTATAGACAGAACTTACTCATCTCCGGAATGTCCAGTTGGTTGAGAACTCCTTCACTCCTTCACCCTCTTTCTCCAAAACACGCAGCGACGGGCCATGGGGGTTCTGAAAGTTCGGGTCATCCGGTAGTGCCAAAACCCGCTCGAGATGGTCGGCACACGACCATGATGTTCCTGCAATAATCGAAGCTCTCCTGCAGTAGTGCCAATCGATGGACACCTTGCTCTACAGCGGCTTCATCCTGCGACTCCGACGGAGTCAGTTGGCCACGGCCCATCGAAGCGCTGTTTCGGCTTGGCATTTGGGGACATGGCGAAGCGTGGACCTTCCAACAAAAGCGGTTGCCAAAGGAACCACCACCACGACCACCACCTCCAAATGGTCAAAATCATTTCTGGGAAGGTTGTGTCAGCTTGGAAAGAGTCAGGGAAAAGTCAAGTGGGGGAAGTCACTACAAAGTCAAAAATAGATCATTAACTCAAAAGGGACCAATGCCAACTCTACTTCACCTCTTTGCTGAGAGATCGGCCACTAGGAGTGTGAAGAATCTCTGGAAAACCGCTCTTCTTATTGGTGCTCCAAATCTATGTACTATCACCATCGCATTGATTTACAAACAAAATATGCAGACCTTCAAGCTGAACTACAAGTACCTCACAGTCACAGTCGAGGGATGGAATTTTTGTCAAACAGGACCTACCCACACCAGTGGCTAGGGCTCCAAAAATTGAGACGGTCTAGATACATCACGTCTTTTTGTATTGTAAAATACTATAAACAGTAAGTTTAGTAGTTTGTCTTCAGTGTCAACCGATCTTCCACAGTTTAGTAGTTAGTCAATGTCCTTTGATCAGCCAACAGCCTTGTGTGTGGTCTAAACAACCAAAATTTTACAATAAAACAGTAGAAAAGAACAAGCAAAATATACCAAAATGTCCAACACATCCGTTTTCTTAGAGTATGGCATACTGCATGGCATGAAAAAGGCGGCTCCTCCAATTCAATGGCTTCAAGGACGTCGTAGACCACGGCTCGAGCTTCGCGCCTCGGGGTTTAGCCGTTCTTCCCCGAGGACTTCATCCTGCAAGTAATTGGATGAAAGAAGGGCGAAGCAATGGACTCTTTTGGCCAAGGCTCAAAAGCCGACTGTGAGGTGCGCAATGCCGTGTTGCGGAGGCGAATCAATTCGTCCAAAAGGTCAAACAGATCCATCAGATCCGCTCGAAAAGGGTGGAAAGCGTGACCACCCGAAGAAAGATGGACGGATCATTTGGTCCTTCAACTCGTGAAAACATGTCGACATGTTCTTTCCACTAACACCCTAAGAAACCAACAAAATGAACCAATTTAACCACCAACTTTTGAGGATTCTAGGATATTCTAGGTGTTGAACCAAAGCCAAACAAACCATTCTGATAAGCATCCTCCAACGAAGCTTTCGACCGAGACCTGTCTTTTTTGAGGGAAATCGGAAGTGTTGACTGCACACAGCTCCTCCAAAACCCGGAACGTCTATGTTCTTCATGTTCTTCATGTTTAAGAGACTCTTACCTTTGTGGGTGTTTCAAGGTATGTTTTGTGGGTAGCATTTTCCTCCGTTCGCCCGACTCAGCTCAGTCACTTCTTTTCGTCTTCAAGAGCCTTGTCCTTCGCAGGCCACAGCATATCGGCATCCTGCGTGACAGACAGTGCAGCAGTCGTTCCTTACGCGAAGGGCCCACTGGTAGAGTAAAATTCTTAGAGTTGTGTTGCGCCAAATTAAGCTTGGGATTGGACATCGCAAAATTATTAGGCAACATAGTGACATGGAAACTCACTAGAAGCACAAGTATTCAGGAAAAATTTGAAAAACAACATGTAACAAATAGTGTCCCTAATCATGTCATACGTATATATAAATTGTTGGGCTATGTGCTTTTTGTGTTTCTAGTGTTTCTTAGGCTGACGTATATTTTCCCTATATATGTGTTCGATGATAGTGTCGAAAAATTAGCTGCTTGTGAGCTGAGCCAAAATTTGGTTCCTTTGTTTTTGTTTTGTAATGTTCTTGATTCTGTGCTTTCCCAGTGTCCTTTCAATTGGTCCTCTCTATCTTCTGCCCAATGTATATTACTTTGATTGCACCCAGTCGAATCCCGCCTTCAACAAAAACGCCCTTGGTAGAGGGCCTTGAAAATGACTTTTGAAAAACTGTTGCCAGAAAGAATTCGGCAATTCTGGTCGGGGAAGGCCTCCACTCCGATTCTGGGTGACTCTATCCAGCACAACAGCGGCGAGAAGGAGGACTTCGTCTGGTCATGGATGCATTGACACCCCGAGTATGATAGTTCGCTCCATCAAAACTTACAAATCAAAGCGTGAATGTCAGTCAAAACTACAGTACGACTGTCAAATCACAGTACCATCAAACAGTCAAACATACAAATCAAAGTTTGCACAGTTCATGTCTAGCTTGGAAAAGGGGGTGCGACTCTGAAAGATTAAATTTTCTTGGGGGCAGCTGTCAAAACAGAACATGCCTCAAACTCACTAAGCATCTCTTGCACTGGCATCACTAGCTTCAACTCAAGCACAAAACACCTCTATATATATACAGCATCCATATCCACTACCACTGCCAGACTCCGACTACGACTGCTACTGCTACTAGTTGGTGGACAAAATCCTGCACCACTTTGCGCACAGTTTTCTTGCTGCTCTCGTTCTCCCTCGTTAACATTGGGGACACCACAGTGAGAAAATTAAAACAAGTTGAAGGTCCAAAATCCTGCACCACCTCCTCAAGGGAGTCGCGCCAACATCGAATGAGGGGGCGTGGGGGTTGCTATGCGACCCTTCCAGTGGTGAGGTGGTGCAGGATTCTGTCCATCAACAGTATGGCTACTTGTACTAGCACTAGCACTAGTACTATTACTACTACTACTACTACACGACGACGACGACCACCACCACCACTACTACTACTACCACCACGACTACTACTACTCCTCCTCCTCCTCCTCCTACTCCTACTACTACTACTACTACTACGACTACTACGACTACTACGACTACTACCACTACTACCTCTACTACTCCTACTCCTACTACTACTACTACTACTCCTACTTCTACTGCTACTCCTACTCCTACTTCTACTACTACTACTACTACTCCTCCTACTACTCCTACTCCTACTCCTACTCCTACTCCTACTCCTCCTCCTACTACTACTACTGCTACTACTACTGCTCGGGCCAGTCAAAGCCACGAATCTCTCTGGCCCAAACAAAAACACGCCTCATCCACCAGCTGCAGGAAGCGCTCGGGGCGCGCAGAGGAATGCTCCGGGCCCTGATGCACGAGGCTCCAGACACTTCGATGGTTGAAGTTGAATCTCCGAAAGCCAAAGACGACATACTCCGAATATCTCCGAAGATTGAATACTCCTGTTTACTTTTGCTACAAAAAAACACAGCTATTGATACTTTTCAGGGTGGTTTGAACATTTCTTGTATCAACTGCCGGAATCCCCAAGGTCGACACCAGTTGACACTACCAGTCTCATCTCTAATCAAAGAGACACGACTAAAAAGATTCCGGTGCGCTCCATCCTCCGGCTCCGGCGAATTCCGGAGCCGGCCTCTCCCGGTGAAAAACCGTCCGTCCGAGCGATTGCTCGACCGTCCGACCAGTCGTCCGGGTGGGGTGGATGTTAATCAGGAAGTGCCAGAAGAGTTTTTTTTCCTTTTTGGTCGGCTTTTTGGAACATGGGAATGCTAGAAGTGTTGGGATTTTGAAGGTGGGATGATAGTACTTCATCTCCAACAATGTGTACTGTATATTGTCCAGTTGGGATTGTGAAGATGGGGATAAGAGAGAGATTTACTTCAGAATGCTCGCCTGGTCTTACCCCACACCGATGATCACCTTTTTTCCAATTCTCTTGTTGTTGACGTTTGTCGGAGAGTGATGAACACCATACAAGCGAAGTCAACCCTGCTCATGACAGTAATGAGCTCCTTCATCCCACATGTGTTTCTTCTTACAAAATGATACAAAATGTACCTCCAATCATTAAAGAATACACAATGTAATTCTCACAGGTGTATTCTAGTCCGATGTAATCTGGTTCCAGCAAACTCAAAAACCTCGGACTAGAGCTCAGCAAACCTCATCGAAAGGATTCGAACCTCAGTGATCGGGAGCACCGCGCGACACGCCTGCCCTTCCAGACCATGCGGGAGCAGCATCACCAGATTGCTCAGGCTACCCCACCTCACCACAAAAGCACGATGTAGACTTCCGGTCGCTTCAGTTTTGGTCAGGCTCTGGCAGCCACGAGCTTGACCAAATCTGAGAACCGATCGGATGGTGTCATAGTTCTGCCAGATCTTCTTCACAAATCCCCTGGGGGGGTTGCTATATGTGTCTTGTAACTTGTATATGGTCATGGTCATCGTCATACAAACAAAGAGAGTTTCTGGATTAGCCACAACAACCGGGTTACCGTTCAGTCTTTCTATCCAAGGCCGTCAACATCTTGGCACTGTTTCGGTCACCTACAGACCAGTGACTGTAATTTGCATGGTGCAAAGCTTAGTTTAGTCCAACCGCCCAACCCTGCCAGAAAAGTCCCTATCAGTGCCCATCCCAAGTGTCCCAAAATCTTACGCAAAAAGCATCAACAGCTGACGTGTGACTGATTCTGAGTGTTATATGTATATATACCTGGACCCTCCAAGGGGTGCCCAATGGAAGCCTATAGGTAGTGTGGGGTAGTCCATTGGACATCCCTTGGAGGGTCCAGGTATGTACTGTGATGTGTTGGCGTCAGCTCGGATGGCAGTCTTGTTCTTTGTGGCCCCCTCCATGGATCGGTGTTCGCCATACCACGATTTGCCTCGGGGCTTCAAAAGGGCCTCGGGTCACCAACTCCCAAAACAATATCTGGAGTTGGGAATACATTCTCATTGAGTCTATGAGGGCCTCGGGTCGCAGAATGTGATGGTTTCTCATTGACTTGAATAAAAACATGTCTGACGCATGTATTTTGTCTCCTAGTACATCTTTTGTTCAGGGGGGGTGACTTTTCGAGCGAAGTGGCAAAGCGTGTCCGCAAGTGATTGTACGCTGGTACGCTGGTACGCTGGCGGTGGCTGGCTGCGCTGGTTGCGCTGGTTACGCTGATTACGCTGGTTACGCTGTTCGCTGGTTACGCTGGTTACGCTGTTCGCTGGTTACGCTGGTTACGCTGACCACTGACCACGCTGTTTACACCGGATACGCCGGTAACTGTTTCAACGGTGTAGACGGTGGAAACGGTGTAGACGGTGTAAACGGTGTACCTATATAGACAGTGTAGACGGTGTAAACGGTGTAGACGGTGTAGACAGTGTGCCGAAAAATTGTGGACTTTTCTGTCTTTGCTGGTCAGGTGTCATCGCGGCCGCTACAATGTGCCAAAGTCACTTCTGCTCCCCGCTGGCAATGAAGTTGTCAATGATGGGCTGGGCGCAATTGGCAAAGTCGCCGAACTGAGCCTTGACAAAGTCACAAAGTTCACTGTCGGGTGGTGCCATGGAGCCATATGATGAAATGCAGTGAACAAGTTAAAAAGCATGTTGATACCAGACGATTTGACCTTCCCAATAGATCATTGACCTTCCCAGTCTCATGTAACAGGTTGACTGTGACACGTACAACCAAACAATGTTGGAACCTAGATGTCCTTTGTACAGCTCACAAAGACTCCAATGCCCACAAACGATGTTCGGTTATATATATAAATATAGTTCCCTTGAAGTGGCGCATGCCGGTGAATGGGGGTCTGGCTTGTTGCTGAAAAAGGCTTCAGTTTCTGGCTCTACGTTCTTCTTCTTCTTCTTCTTCTTCTTCTTCTTCAACAACAATGATTGTGGCGTTGTTTGTGTCAAAATGACACTTTCTTCAAAAGGGTTTCTTGGCTTCGTCTTTGATGCGTCCAAATCTTTGGCAAAATGCCTCGCATCGTCACCCCTCAAAGAAGCTACTGTGCAGTCCACTTTTGCCGGTCTAGCTGCCAAAACCAGGTCCCGAAGACCAGTAAAGTTGAATACCAAACACCAAGCTTCCTCGGTATTGGATCCTTGCAACAACAGAACACCGTACCTCTGCGGTTTTGAGCTGGCCTCCCACATTGTCAATGCCAAGCCAGCGCCCTCCTCGAGGGAGTAGCCGTACTCGAAGCCCAGGATGGCCTAAGTAAGTGGGAAGGAGCTCAAAACGTGGAATGTGCTGAAAAAACACACGTGTTGAGTGACAAGAGATACTGTAGATATTGCAATTGCCCTACATCGCTTGAATTTGGGATACCCACACGGGGGACATTTACCGTGAACTGCTCAAAAAATGCTGCATTTGACATGCCCAGCACTGGCACGTGGGAGAGCTATGTCGCCATGTCGGACCATGTCGGGGTGGCGAGGTTGATGATCCTGCTATACAAGTGCTTTGTGGGAGGTCCCAATTACATTCAAAAAACATGATTATATGGATAATTATATAATCCCCCAATTTGGATCGTAAAAACGTCTTCATATGCAGGGGTTTATTGATCAGGAGTCTACATTATCTTGGGTGTGTGTTTCACGGTCTGATGGTTCAGGCTTCAATTCGGATTTTGTGAGATTTCCAGGTCAGAGATATGAGGGTCTGTTTTTCGGTATATTTTTTCTGATCGTCTACGACTGTGGGTTTGTTCGTCGACCACGCAACAGACAAGATCTCCCCCCCAACTTCCTGTGTCCAGTGACAAGTTCCGAGAGTGAGGAATTGCACACTACCGCTTGCGACTGCTCGCCCAAGCCCAAGTCACCTGGGCAATGCCCGTGCCCCAGTTGCACTATGTCCGCGCGACTGGCGTGAAGTGATTGGCTGACTGGTGCGACTGATAGAATCCCAGACACTCCATGCATATATGCCTACATTGGGGTGGTTTGGGGGGTCAATATGGGTCAATATGGGTCAATGCATGCATATATGGCATACATGGAGTGCCTGGGATCTAAACCGGTCAGTGCCCGTTGACAGACCCGCCTGGAGGACCCGGAGAAGGGGACGACGTTCGTCGTCCAACGCCATGGACGAACGAGCGGCTCTCACAACCCAAAACATCAACTTCAGAAGGGTTGACAAATAAATACGTTCTTAAAAAAAAAACGGATAGAAAGAAAGGGTTTGAAATAAAGATCGTCTCGCTCAAATGGTTTCACCCTTGCTGGAAAAAAAGAACGAGATCTTCGGTCTCCTTGGTCCAGGTCTCCTCGGAAGGTCTCGCGACTCCCCCCGGTGATCCGCGCTCCGACCGCCGTGATCCGCGCCATCCGACCGTCGTGGTCGGGTCGACGTCCAAGAGACTCAGCGGGCTGTGGGGGATGGCAGAATCTTGGTCGTGGATGATACCTGACAATTCTGGCTCGTCGTCTCAGGGATGAAGGAGATATCCAGATGGATGACTAAGATGACTGAAGATGACTGGATGACTGAAGATGACTAAGATGACCATGCAGAGACTTGTCATAACTCAAGTCACAAAGTGATCGCTACCTGCTCTGATTCCACAGTTGGACCGAGAACGCGGCCATATATGGATCTATGCATACCCACCGCGTAGTACAGCCTGTGGTTGCTGGTGTTCACCGCACATTGTGAGAGGCCAAGTGGCTATGCCGCTGATTGAAGGTGCCACGTTCAACATCTTGACCTTAAGATCCACAGCGCTTCAGATTGCCGGTCTCATGGCCAGCGTTGATCTCCGTTGCCGGTGTCACCTCCAAATCCCGGTCTCGTACAGATCAAATCTAGCTCAACTTGCCAGCGTGACGTTGGGTGAATCAGGGACCATGCCCCAAGTGACAGTTATGAGAAGGAAGCACCTTACCCCAGCCAACATCTCCATCAAAACATATTGATCGCCCAACCAAACCGCTCACCAAACCGACTCCAAGCACCAACGACGACCTCCAAAGCGACTCGGAGTCGCCCAGACGGTCTACGGCTCCAAACGGACGGTCTACGCTAACGCCGGGCGTCCGGAAAGTCGCACGTGACACGGTGGATGCACCACATACTGCAGCTCCGAACGATCCATCAGCAGCCCCGTGTTCAAGGCCTGGGGTCGGATGAAGTGAGTCTCAGAGCTGCGCGTGGCGGTACCCACGGTCGACGCGGCGCCCAAGAAATGGCACGAGTGAGTCGTATAATTGATTCGGTCGTGGAGCCGTGTTGACTGACTGACGAGTTGGAGGAACATAGGAGCATATTATTGCTCACGGTCGAGCCCCTCCTCCATTCGAGGAGAAACAAGGAAATGTCCAGTTCATTCATGTCCTTCAACTTTAGGGGAGGCTCACCTGTCATCTATAACATCGGCAACAAGCACGGAAGGGTCGCTTGCCTCGTGTCTTTCCGGGTCAAATCTCAGGATCAGCGAGCCAATGGCGAGTGTCTCTGCCAAAGGCCAATCAATGCGACCTCCAAAGCTGGTCACATCAAGGTTTCGTTTCGAAGAGAAGAAAAACACACTTAGAATATATATATATATAGTGGTCCTAGTGGTGATTCATTTTTTATGTATAAATATATATAATATATATATATATATGATGTATATACGCCCCTAGGACCACTAGGACTGTCATGTTTTTCTTGACCGTTCGAAAGTGAAAATCCCTTAACGCGTGTTCAAACCTGCAAGACATTTGTCACCTGACACGGTCAAACTTCCTCCCTCAAAAGCTGTGTAAAGAGGGTAATGGTTGAGCGTCCCACAATGGCCACGCGAACAATGAACTTACAGTATTACAACGACCGCAGTTGATCCACATTGACGTTCTAAGACTCCGTAATTAAGAAGGACACAACATGGTTTGTGCTGAAGGTAATTACATTGAACAGAAGTTAACATGGTCCGGCTGGGAGCGTTCACTGCTGAACTATCATCTTGCCGTGCCCACCTCCCCGCAGAACATACTGCCTCGAATCTCTGGCCGTGTCACTCGTTTGAGGCGACGCGGTCCACAGAACGGACAGTTGATTTAACTTAAAAATAGACATATAAATGATGAATATATATATATAGAGAGAGAGAGAATTATGTAGGTATATGAAAAATTAAAAAACAAAAAAAAAACGAAAGAAACAACACATCAATGACCACCCTATGGCCCTGTGGTTGGGTTCTGACACACCTAGGACCTAGAACAGGATGCTCCTTGATTCGGGTGCCTTGCTGGAGTTGTGCCCTCCTTCCCTGCAGCAGCTTCGTCACCGTGGGGTGCGCATTCACATGCTCTGGGATGCGGCAAGCGGCCTGGCAAGATTCGTGGAAGGGCACATGGTCCATGGTGGTCCCAAATCAATCGAAACTTGAAACTTAAACGGTCCTGTCATTGTACCATACATTTGTTCGAAGGAACTTTGCGTTCAACGTCCTTTGTATGACCGTTTGGCTCGGGATTCAATTGTCTTCTGGAACGAAGGGACAGCTCTCCCAGCAGAACACTGCACTCATGGTCGCCATTAGACCATAGCGGCCATGAGCCCTCTTTGTCTTGGTGGCCAAAACAGCTCAAGCACTCGAAGCTGTGGGACTTCCTCAACCTGAACCTGTGGACCAGTCGTAACTTTCCAAAAACATGATACTCCCATTGTACTTTCGCCAAAGCATCCGGCAAGTAGACATCATCCGACAGCAGTCTGAGACTCCTTTGGGAAGCTGAACTGAAGCCCTTCCAGTACCATCTCCGCTTCAACTGAAGCCCTTCCTTCAACGCCACGAAACCGCGGCGGCGTCGTGTGACCCCCAAAGGATTCAGCGTCTGCCTCCCCGATCATCTTGAGCCACGACAAAGGCAGGCCAGTCAAGTTCACCGGCCGCGTGTCCTGCTGAGTTCGCACTCGCCAATCTTGCAGGCTGGAGCCTGAAGAGTTCGTGAAGAACGTGGCGCCCAGCGCCCACATGTCCCAGGCGCTTTGCAGGGTCATTGGGGCCATGAAAAGTGCCACCATAATTACACGAGCAATTATCATAATATGTGTATTTTTCATGTATGTACTTGTTCATCTGAGGATAACTATGGATAACTCATTGCTTTGATCTGCTGGGTATGGTGCGGGTCTTCTGTGCAAGTCGTCGACAGCGGTCGACGACTTAATCGGCGCGATCGGGGCGTGATCTTCACGACAAACCCAGCCGTCTGTAGCGTCTCTCCGGTGCCTTGAAGCTGTGAGTAGAGATGCTCCGCCTCAAACTCTTCGTAAATTTGAGAGACCTCCAATTCGATCTCCTCCTCACTCACCACACCTGAGCAATCGGGAGCTGAGCTGGGCAAAGAAACACTATACAATAGGGATACATAATATATATAACTATATATAGTGTTGCAGAGTCAGAAACCATTTTGCCATCACACGATGATGTAGACCGAAAGACACGTTTTGAAGTTGCTGTGAGGTGCATACTTAAATATAACTGGCACATCCGGACTGGTATGGACCAACGTTCTGGTACTGCTTGTTCTACCTCTGTGCTTATCAAAGTATCCCCAAATCAAACCCAGTCTGCTCGTGGAATCCTGCTTGTCGCCACCCACCGCCACCCACGTCCCCTTCTTGAAGAAACCAAGCGGCCAGCCTCCACGAGTAGCTCGCTGTACTGTTGGGATGCCGGAGGATGTTGTCTCATGCGCTCCTGTGACAATGGCTGGGTCAGTGAAGCATCTTCCACCTGCGGCGCAGGTAAGGAGCTCTGGGATGCGGAGCGGTGAAGACGGAAGGTGTTCTTGGGATGCGGAGCGGTGGGGAGTGAGGCTGCCAAAATTGGTCAAGCGGGATGGACTAGAATGAACCTGAACTTGCTGAACTGTTCTGCGCTTCAAAAGTATGGAAGTTGATGGACTTGAGGTGTTCATTTTGGATGAGCGATGAATCGTGCTTGATGATGGCACTGGGCAAAAGGATGGTCCTTCGAAAGGGACAAGTTCCCTGCAGACCATCTTAGACGCCATCCGGTCTCTCAATATGCTAAAATTAATAGGGTGCTCCCAACTTGAACCCTCAAGACCCAAGAAACCTTCTAAATGAGCATGTTCACACAAAATGCCCAGGTCTGTCAACGTGACCCAATTCAATTGGATAATCCCAAGCATCGCAGAAGCCACAAACAGCAACCAGCAAGTTTGGAGCCACTGTACCATTAGAGGTTTGCATCAGGCTGACAGTTTCCATTAGAGCTTTGCATCAGGTTGACTCCGGCTACAGAGCGACGAGCTTACATCTCCACTGCGCTTCGCGCAGCCTCGCTGTGCCCCTCTCGGCGGTAGCAAACCAAGTCCACCACCACGTCCTGGATCAGCTGCCAGCAAACAAACGCTAAAGTTCATAAAAGAATGAACAGGATATAACTTATAACAGTAACAGGATCATTACCCGAAATGCGCCCCAAAAAATGCCAAAAGGATCTTCTCCCCAGAGAAAAAAGCACACGTTTCACAGATGCCAAAGCACTGACCAGTTCATCCACACAAAAACCTCACAGTCACTTCACAATCTATCTAACTAGCAGCTGCACAAAGTGTTCTTTGCTTTCTGAACGGCTTCAACTCACCGCGCACGGTCCTTCCGGAAGGTCTGACGGTACTCTGCCGCTAGTTTGGCTGCGAAGAGCACCGCATCGACCTGAAAATTTGTGGGTCGAGTCAGTGGGGTGTTCCACGCAGAACTAGCCAAGATACACCAAGCACAACTCTTCGTACTTGACCCGACCCAAATAGCAAGGAAAAGAACAAGAGCACAAATACTATGAACTGCCATTAGAAGTCTATAGAGTCTGACCCCTGGATTGGGGGGATCATTTGGGGGTCAAGCTTCAGTCTGACCCACGGAATTTGAGGGATGTCCCCATCTCCATGCTCCTCGAAGTTTGGCTCGGTGTGATCGACATGAAGCTGACAAACACATCGAATCTCAAGGAAAATAACCAAATACTGCCACCAACACCTGAACCAAAATAAACTTATCATCGATGATCAAAAAATCAACACCCAAATCCATGTTCTATCACTCGCGTTCCTAAATCCCTGTATCACATACATCCTCCCCCCATCCTTCCAAATGCTCTCCTGCCCGCCCCCTGTCACCCCGCGGTGCCGCCGGACACAGCCAGCTGAGGATGTCTCGCTGAGGCTCCCGACGTCGTCGGCGTTCACGTGCAGGATGGGTGCATCGTTGACCTTCGCCACGTTGGTGCCTTGCTCCACCGTGGTTCCACGAAGGTTAGGGGACTCAGGGCCCCTGTCCTGAATGGCCAGAGTCGGGTGACCAAGCATGACTCATGTCGTATATGCAAAAGGTGGAAAGCTCACCCAAAAAGACCATGACCATGTGTTCCTGCCATGTCCTACCCTCGTGAAAGACAGCTCATAAATATAAAATAAGAAATTATGAATGGGTTTCCTTTGGGATGTCCTTTGTGGTTTATGAGAGGGGCCTTGAGCAGCTCAAAGGATCCAGATGGAGGAAGAAGGATCATAATTTCTCCTCAACAAGGAATCATTGCGAGATCCCACCGACCAAACCCTGCTTTGTATCGCTTTTGCTCCAAAGACATTGCCACCTATGCCAAGCCCCCTCATGCTTTGCCACCGACATGTGTGGCGATGTCAGTATCAACAGCGGAACTATGGCCTCACATGCGGCCTAGTGCATCCTCCCGGAACTGACGTCCCTGACTCCTCCAAGCGTCAGTGATAGGAGGAGCGGGCGGCCCGGGGATCAGTGGTGAAGCCCACCATATTGTTGATCACAAAGTGCACGGTGCCACCCGTCGTGTACGCTGGTAGGTCGGTGAGCTGCAAGCACTCCGACAAAATGCCCTGGGCGGCACGGTGGAGGCCAGGAGGTCACTTCGAGGCCAGGAGGTCACTACCACCTTTGTGCTTGTCACTTCGGGTCAGGAAAAATATAGGTTGGCTGGATGCTGTAAGAATGAGGATGTCATTGGCCGCGCCAACATTGTATGTACCCATGTAACGTGAGTACCAAGGCAAGCATGGATGAAACATCTGCACAAGGTTGGCAGACCTTGGGTTGCTGAACAGGAAGAACCACAGTTGACTGTACCTCAAGTTGTTGGACTTGTTACACTCCAAAAATAAACATTGTGTTTTTGGTTGCATGGTTCCGTCGCCGCTGCATCTTGATGACAGCAAGCCATAAACTATTCCGCTGGTAGAGGGAGAGATGAACAAAAACAACCTATACAATTATTCGTCACCAGGTCCCTAGCTTCTAGACCATACCCCACATGAAGCATTTAGAACGGATTACACGCCCCAAAAGCCCTGGCCTGTCCACAGAAGGCGGCATCCCCATGGATCAAAACACCCATCACGCGCCGCATATCATGGTCGCCCATGTAGTCCTGACATTGTCAGATTGAGTAAAGGTGCACAATTAAATTGTTGGACCTTTCAGCCCCAACCACCACAAAGGGTCTAGACGAGTCTATAATTGTTTTTTGTTATGTTCTTTCCAAGGTTTTTAGGAACACTCACCTTTTGCCAGCCTATGAACGCTATGAAGACTTGAAAGATCCCAATGATTCCGCCAACATCAAGGCTTTATCCTTCAAAGTACACCATTCTATATGATATACAACATTGTTTAATTGTTTTGCTGTCGACCAAACATGCAGCTGCCAGCGGCCAAAGCAAGCATCCACAATCCACAGGTTTTAGTGATGTTTTTTCCATTTGCCAGTGGGTAGTGGAGGTAAATGGGGTACCCAATTCAAGGCTTCTGCCCACAACCATCGAACATGTATAACTCCTTTCAGATTTCTTTCATGCCTTAGCTCCCATGGAGGTACTCCGCCTGGAACAGCTCGCAATGGAGAGCACATTTTACCTTAAGTCATCTTAAATTTACGAGTGTTTGCAAGTCTTCTGTCAAATTTCGCAAATTTGGATTTGCCCTGGTTCCTCACTGGGTACCCCCCTCTTCCCTGCGGCCGTCAGGAGTCTCCCGGCGAAAGCGTCGTCCTGCTTGGCTCGCGTCATTCCAAGCACCACAGGATCCACGGCCTCCAAGTGCGAGGGATTCGGAGCCAAGGTCACGTTGACGGAACCAGAACAAGGGCGACCTGGGCGTTACGGTGAACATTGAACAAACAAATGGCGGGTTTTAGCTGAATAGTGCATTCAATGCGCATCTATAGAAACGCAACCAAGCAGTTGCGCAATCACTCAAACACCGTTTAGTTTATATGTATAAACATATTTGGGTTCGCGGATGGCGCCCCAACTTCAAGAGCTCGCCTGACGGAATTTTGTCGAGGAATGTTTGGTGGCTGAGGTTACCGCGTGCAGAGAAAAGTTTGGGTTCGTGATTCAGAATCAGCAGTTATTTCATGTTATTTCTGCTGGCGGTTGGCAACTCAAAGCTTAAGAGAAACAAAACAAAAAGTTATACAGTAATGCATTTAATCAAATGCTAAGTCTTGCCTTGCCGGGTTTCAACCTTGCCCGGTTGAGCTCAAGCTGCCGGAACCTTAAGGAACGTTTGGCACCGTCCTGTCTAGTATTTTCTAGCTTTACGGATCAGAAAAACAACAGCGCTACTCCCGCAATGGAAACCATTTCCGTGCAAAGGCCGCAAGTTGGTGGCAACGTGCGCAATGATCTCCTGATGCCTTTCAGGGTCGGGAGCTGCTCCGTTCATCAAGGTGTCTGCTCGCATTTGTTGTTGTACACTCGGATGCATTCGCTTCACAGGATCTAAGATAGCCGTCCAACTGCTCACAAGCCTTTGGGGCAGGGGTTGAAGTTTCATCATGTTCGCAGAGCCTCTGTTGAACTTCATGAAGTACTGCACTCCTGCACTTGGTGGATCGTTTGCCTTCAGCAAGTCTCTGTCAAGAACACATTTGTAAACTGCTGCTTCACCGTCTAATTTGTTCCTCAATGCAGGTCCTCTTTTCTCCTCTCTAACTCTGTGATGTCGCGCCAGTCGTCAACGGCATCCTCAAGGGAAACCAAGATGGTTTACTGTCGTATAGGTAGCACCATTGTTGTCACTTGGTTGTCATAGCTATTGCTGTGGGTTCTCTTCTCACATGTCTATTGGCAAGTGCTTGTGGCTCAATGGCCAAGTCCATATCAGGCTCTTCCTAGTCATCTATCCAGTCCATGGCTCAATCTACAAACCCAAAGATGAGCTAGGATCTGGAGCTCACCTGGGTCTTCCAGGATCACTGCTCCGCTACCACTGTAGTACAGGGACTACCCCGTACGCCCTGTGAAGGCGCAGGCAAGCAGAGCTTGAGATCCCTTGAGATCCCTTGATCCGGAATACGATAGATGGCAGTCACATCACTGTTACAAGTATGCGTACGAAGGTCTTGGCCATTGAAGCCCATACGAAAACATCCCCTCCAGGGAGTAAGAACTACATAGCTGAGGTAGGAAAGGTGAGGAAGGAGGGTGTCCTCGCCTTGATTCCAAAATTTGCCTCTTCCGTGGTTTTTCTTGACCTACGAGCACTTTTCTTCACCCAACGGTCCCTTGAGATGAGAGAAGTAGAGAAGCAAAGGAAGAAAGCGAGGACAAAGTTCAAAATCCTTGGCTCCTTCTGGGTTCCTTCCTTCGGCTCTTTAAGCCTGAATCCTATGTCTCAAGGCTGTCTGCAAACCAGAAGCCGTTTCAAAACAGGGTGGACTCGGCAAACCACACGGAGTGAGAATTCGTCTGGGGATGTCAAACAGTCTTGAAGGGTGTCTGGGGATGTGAGCTAGCATGGGTAGTCCAATACGACCGGGGAATTGGACAAAGCAAGCTTAACAGAGCTACTACTGGAGCTGAACAGAACTACGCAGCGCTGTTGTCAAGTAGTTTAGGCAATTTGTTGTTCTTGTCCAAGTTGTAGCTGAAAGTCATCAAAACACAGAAAAGCACGGTTCTTTTCTCACGAAGGGCCCACATCTAGGCGCGCGCCCGGTATATTGATTTTAACTACTATAGACTATAGACTATTGATTTTACAAGAGCTCAATCAGGTGATTTTTTGTTCACAGGCTCGAGTGAACGAGTGAACGAAGAAGCCTGCCCTTGCGCAATTTAAAAAAGAAAGAGCACCCAGACGGGTGATCTTCTAACTGACATGATATGATCGCTCTTAGGACCGCCAAAAAAAACATATCACGCGTATGATACTTCTGTGGGTGCGAGCTATGTTGAAATGGTCTGAATGCTGCTCGAGTGGCAAGTTCCACGAGTTCCCAGGTGATACTTGAGATCGCCCAAGAAGTCGTTCTGCTCGCCAAACTCGCTGCAAACTTCCCACACACGTTTACCCATGAAGTTCACCTCAGATGGTGATTTCATGAGAATATCAGAGATAAATCTGTTGTGTTTCGACCAGAAAAGTAAAGAACTGTGCTCTCCAAGGGTCCAGGACATTCAGCCGACCACGATGTGCCATACCCAGCTGCATGTGTTCGATGCCCAGATGGTTGGCCTCTTCGGTTGTCGTGAGAATTCCAAAGTGAAAGAGAAACAATTCGCTCCAGCAAACTCTACTAGGTTGCTTGAAAGAATCTGGCTCCAGAGCGTTTGGATTCGCTGCCAACAGGTACAGTAAAAATCCCAAGAGCTATACTACAGCCTAGAGTTGCAACTCTCTTCCAACCTTTCTCTCCCTTAACTCTTAACTCTTGAAGGCCATAAATCCCGTCGCTCACCGTCCTCCAACCTTCGCTCCAAACACCGGAGCCTCGTGCTTGACCAGTGGAACCCCCGCCTCTTCGGTCAGGGCCCAAAGCGCCGGCAGCAGCGCTTCGCAGCCCTTCAGCCCGAAACGCTTCGCCTCGACAGGACGAGAATCGACGCTTCGCCTCTCTCCCGGTTTTGGTCGGCGGCGGTGTGGGACGGAAAGCGAGTTGGATAGCGTTCCGAAGCGATGGCTCGGACGGGAAGACGGGACGGGTGTGGAGACACCCCGTCTTAGAGGGTGTGGAGGCCTGTGGAGGCCTGTGGCCTCAAAACCCGTGCCTTTCAAGCAAATACACTTACAAGATCTTACAAGTCTAGCCATTCTAGCAGTTGCCCAATGTTGCCCATACAAGTTCTTGGGATAGAATAGAAATACGAGTGAAGGCTTCATGGTGGATGCAGCAATCCAGTGCAAGCCGGTGGTTTCTAGATGTCGAAGTCGATGAAGGCTTACCGAGTTGTGTGGACCACCTGCACCCCACCGTTCGCCCTGAAGATCTACATACAGTACCAAGGAAAGGGGTAGGAAAGGGGTAGTATCCATTGTATAACTATGAGAAAATACTAGTGTATTTTAAAGATTGGATATGATTGGCTGGTAAAGAAAAGAACGTAAAACATTAACATCGTACTACCTGTCCAAACGCGTTGATAACCTTTTGATACCCGTGAATTTCAGCTGATTGCTTCGATTGCTTAAATGCAGAATGTCACAGACACCAGTCGATCTCACTGGCCGAACAGACCGATCGACCGGGCATCTCCACCCTCCCGGACCCGGCGCGTCTGCGCGGGTTGACCTTCGGGAACTTCTCCCCAAGGAAGCGCTCGAAGGTGCTGGCCCGAAGCAGCCGGTTCAACGCCTCACGGCGCGACGCATGCGACGGTCGCTGCGACGGTGGGGAACGTAGTAACGTTTGGAACGTTTCAAATGGTGACAAGGAGGTGATTCGGACCGCGAAACGCGCTACCACAATTTTTGTAAGTTCCAGCTTTGGCAAGATTCTGTTGCACATTCTACAGCAATGGAACAGGAGTTTTGCTACACCTCTAAGTCCCTCAGTTTCGCTGGAAAAAAGGATTTTCGATGTTGTCAACATCTCTTCATGTCCAGTGGGGAAATCAATCCCTAAAAACGTTTACTGTATATAAAGGTTATAGTTATCCTCTGACTGGGTAGGACATTAGGGTATGACTGTGGGCCCCCCAAAACCCCACCGGGGCGTGCCTCCCGCCGTGCAGTGCTCAGGTCAGACTTTGCTGCCACCCGGGCTTCCAAACGCTCTTCCAACCAGAGCCTCGTGGGGATGTCTTCAACTCTGCTGGCGTCCAACCCCAAAATCAGTGAAAAGGTGTGGAACCGACCTCAACAGGTTTGAAGGTTCTGTAGCAAATGTCACTCATGTGATCTCATGTGTGTTTTTCTGAGATGTCTGCAGTCTGCGGCTTAAGACCGAAACAAACGCCTAAGATGTTCGGCTTCGTGTGCTCCGTCCGCCCCACGGAATTCGGTTCCGTCTTCGCCTTTCAATGGGGTTGTCGATGTGTTGGTGCTCCGAGCTGAGTGTCGATGCGTAAGAAGAACAAAGGTGGTCAATGAATCTCCTGCCGGAATGAAGGTGGAATGAATCTCATTGGCTTGCAGGCTGCGGAATGTTCAGATGTTCATGACAGGATCGAACATGATCGAAGCTGATCGAACTTGATTCCATACTGTTCCATACTCTCCCGCAACTGAATCCGCTCTTCGACCCATTCCACCGATGGAACGACACCGGGTCCGAGTTCCTCCGTCCCGGTCGCTCCGGTCGTTCCACCGTCCCCGGTCGCTCCTGAAGGTCCAGACGGTCCCACCCGGCGGGTCTCCCCAGAACGACGGGACGTCCACTCCTGGCGACGGTCCCGCGGGCCGGTCTCGTGGACCGAGGCGGGCGGAGTCGGAGGGGTGGAGGGGCCTTTTTGGAGCCGGGGCGGAGGTCACACACCAAGACTTCAAGCAAGGAGTTAAGGGAGAAGCTGTCAATGCTGGACAACTGGTGCCCCTAAGAGATCTGGAGTCATGTTGCTGGTCTCATGACAACGGTCCCATCCCCCAGAAATGAATGAGAAGTCTATGTCATGCATGAAAGGCATTGAGAGGCTTCAACACTTCAACTACCCACCTCATCCCACCTCTCCTTCGGGTAAGGGATCATCCTCCCCAAAGTTCTCCAGTGCGAAAACGCTCAGATCAATGCTCTCCTGATTCAAAAAGCCAACATGTGATCCAAGGTGGATTTCCATAGTGATACTGTCCAGAATCGAACCCAAACAAAGCCCGGACATGCGTTCGGACATGGTGACAGCCCGTGCTGTGCTGTTCGGACAGGCTGAGGCTGTTGAGTTGACGAACCGGTGACTCCGTCCAGACCGTTGCGACACGATGGACGTCACTGGCGCCAAGATGCTGGGTAATTTCGGAGCAACCTCGGCCAATCCAGTGGGGTGTGGTGCAGGACGGTGCACCAACACGTAGGACACGAAGAGAATACATGCTGGGCGATGCTTCAACTGCTGGTAGAAAGTTGCAATGCAAAACTAGAATCCTCAATAATCCTATTGAATATCCTGTAAAACAATGTTTAAACACATCTGAAAACTGTGTAGAATTCAGGATGGGATCACATCGAAGAAACGAGGTGTTTCTTTAAATGTTACATCTAAGTATATGGACGAGTACGGACTCGTCCGTACTGTCGTCCATGCATGTCGTGAGCTCACGCGAGCTCGCACCGGCCCGGTGTAGGACCCAGGCACCGATTCACATCGATGCTGGGGATCTTCTGCCCATGTTTGCCACCAATTCTCCAGTGCACAGGTTCTTTCGGAGAGAGCTGTCCTGGAAGAGATGCTGAAGAGCTGTAATATGGGAGGAATTGAAGCATCTGCCCAGACCCTCATGGAGTCATAATATGGAGGGGTCAGACCCTCATATGGAGGGGTCTGGGGTCTCCAATCCCTAGGTTTTGAGGGACCAAGGGCTGTTTGGAGCCTGGGTGAGTTGTTGTTCGAAGGGTTTGACTAATATTACTAATATGCATTGTTGGAGCTGCGTGAGGGATGGTGTCTTCGCTGACGTGTCGCTGAAGCAAAATGATGCAGAATCTCACATACCTTTTATGGTTAAGATCTGTTATTATACAAAATGGCTTTCTGCCACTCCACTTCTGGCAGGGGAAGCTAGCTAGGACTTGGCACCACAATGGCATTGGTGCTGGATCCTTCTCGTCCCAGCAAAGTCCCACTTCATGTCAAACTCACGAGCATCAAGTTACATCATCAAGCTTGGAATTTTGACCAAACATCAAGAAGGTTGAAGGTTGAAATTTGTTGAAAAGGAACATCACCGCATGCATAGCTGTGACTCTCCATTCAGCTCACCCCGTTTTGAACTCACACCAACAACCAAGAAACATCCCGCCCATGGCCACCCCATGGCCGGGGCCACCGCGGCATGCTGCGGATACGACTTCCGAGGGGCGTGATTGCTTCCCTCGCAGCGGGTCCAAGGTGGCGGCCAAGTGCCCCCGGTTCCGGAGCGCGGCTGCCAGGTGGAAGACCCGCACGGAGGCCTCAGCGGTGAAACGCTGGGATCCTGGCGATCGGATAGAGAGCATCAAAGCGACGGCAGGTTTTGAGGTTCAAACCAAGAAAGCAAGTGTAAAAGGTCAACAAGTAGCAAGTATATCATATTGTTTGCAACTGCAAGACTAGGGAGTTTAACTGGACAGTTCTCCTCAGTCTGTGAGACATCGCCCTTGCGTGTCCCCCCTGTTTTGTGACCAAATCAAAGAACTCACACTCCATCCTTTTGTGTCAATAGACCGTTTGTTGGCCGAAAAGAATGTTTCGTGTCAATTCTTCGATGCAAAAACACCGAAGTCGATGATTCGGCCAGTAGTCCTGACCCGGTCGCGCGGCCCATCTGCAGCTTGTAAATTGCTTGTGCTGACTGAGGCTGACCACCCGTTTCGTGGTGCTGCAGTTTTTCATGACATCTCTGCAGTCGACAGTGGGTCGTTATTCAGAAACCATCGCATTCGAACATGAACTGTTTCTACAGTGTCTTCCGTAAATGCTCTGTGGGTGTCCAACACGGGTCTCTCATGCTGCAACTGCAACCCCACACAAGTCCTTTTCAACACGTTGGAACTAGCTGAGACACGTACGGAAGAGAAAACTATCTAAGTACTCTCTCTCTCTCTCTCTTACTCTGATTGATAAACCTTCCTTCAATGAAGAAGGCGTGTATATAATTAGTTTAGGATGATGTAATGGATGTTTTTGTGGTCAGAACATGGGTTGAAATTAAAGTGAAAAATATATAAAAGACCTACTGTAATTGAAAGAGTCCTAACGAAAACAAAAGGAACATGATGCATGAAAGGCCTTTAATGGAAGTCATATGCATGCATATTGTCAAGAAATCGATGGCTACATAATTCATTGGCTTGGAGGGTTGTTTTGCTATGGCAATGGAAAAGGCTGGAGGGGGTTGGGGAGCAGCAGGCGCAACCCAAAATCAACACTTAAATGTAGAAACTCAAAATGCAGAACCCACCAAAATCCCAAGTAAAAGCCACCCAGAGCCGAATGCCAGAATTCGCCAAAAGCCAAGAAGCCACCAGGACCCACCAAATACAGCAACAAAACAAACACCGACTCCATTGAAGGTCTGGGATATACAATATCAAATTCCTACATTGCTTGCTTTGGTATGGAATGAAAATAATTACAGTAGGAGTTCCCTTTGATCCCCCGCTCGTTGTCTTGACGCGGAGAGGACGCGTCCAAGTGGCATGCCAATCCTTAAGCCAATCCTCCCAGACCTTTTCACTGATATCCAGCGCATCTGCTTTGAAACGGAGATGCCGAAAGAGAAGCCTCTCACGATTGATACAACGTCATTGGACTGGTTGCTTCGACTGCTCGACTTATGCCTTCCACAATCCATTTGCGGCACATTTCAGAATTGTGTTTGCATCAATATGGTTTGCGTTACCTGCCTCAAGCTGTGTCAAAGGCATTCAAAAGCAGCATCTCGCACTACTAGCTTTCGCCCTCGCACAAAACTTCCCTCAGTCGCGCCTCCCCTTTCCTCTTGCAAATCGATCCAATCGGAGCATGCCCTGGCCCCTGAACAGGTGGCCAAGCACACCATCGGCAGAGGCGAAAAAGGGCTCAGCTGCGAAGAAAAGCTGTGGAATGTTGCTCTGCTTCTTGTGGAATGTCGCCCATGTTCCAAAAAAGGCAAACAACTTCATCCAAGGGGCGGGTGTTTTTTTCCCGAATGCGTAGCGAAGGGTTCTCGTTTAACTCTTGGGGGTCTGGGGGTAGAGTCTTGTTCGCGATCCGTTGTTTCTATGTTCGCAACCGTCCGCAACCGTTCGCAACCGTTCGCAACCGTTCGCAGTAGGACGCTAAGGCGCTGCCATTGGGGGAAGCTTTTGCAAGTGACTTTTCATGGATGTGTCCCGTGTCAGTTTGCGACGCTATTCCATTGTGATTTGCATGAAAATGACATGTCGCGCAAGAAGCGTGATGCGTTTCGCTGCACAGGCGCAGTGGTTTGAGAGATCCGCAGTTTACTGCGCAGTTCCATTGGGATTAGTGTTTGGAGAGTCGTGTTTTTGGGGTGTTGGATGTGGCCGTGCCATTGGGATTTGCATTTCAGGGTGTGGCATCGAAGCTCTGTTTTCGTGACAAGTCTCAGCTGAAATGCCGATTTTGGTGGATGGGAGTGTGCTCAGAACGGGTCGAAATCATTGCAAACGTGTGGTGTGGTGCAAATTTTGTTGAAGCTGTTGCAGCTGACATGAGATGATATTGTCACTTTTCGTGGCAGGCGCAGTACTTTGTGTGGGTTTTGAGGCGTGGAAGTGCGATTCTCGTGGCAGGCGCAGGCAATGGTGAGGTTGCGAGGTGTGACGGAGGTGACATTTCGTGGCAGGCGCAGTACTTTGTGCGCGTTAGACATGTGGATGGAGAAAGATTCGTGGCAGGCGCAGGGAATTGTGAGGTCGTGAGTTGTGGTAGAAGTGAATGTCGCTGTCACAGTGGGATTGGCGTGTGAACGGGTGTTGTTTGGAGGGGCTGGACTCGCGAAACTGCTTGGCAGGGCTGCGTGATGTGTGTGCTCCGATGGGTGTTTC